AGTAGCTTTAACGAATAGAGACAAAATAGGAAATGACTTTTTATTCTTTACTACTTTTTGGTCTGTTGAAGTCAGTGATTATGGGACCTCACTCGAAACGCAAGAACACAAATAATAACAATACAAATAAATGCTAAAAGTTGTTGCCGCTTATACATTAATATGCAAAAAAAAAGATACAGGCAGATATGTATACACAGATACAAAAGTGCTGGGTAAATTTGTAGACGACGCTTAATCTTTTTGACAGACCCTGCCTTGAAAATGTTTTAATCATAATTTGAAAACAGAGGAAAATTTCTTTCTTGCGACATTAGTGGTGGGTCATATTTTAAAAGTTAGCAGACAGCCGCATCTTTCTGAAGGTTCGACCCGAAAAACAACGACAGCCCAGTAAATAATGCGCAAAAAGATAGCTAACTACTCTGTCGTGGCACTTAAAAAGCAAAAATTAATCATACGTTAAGACCTATCGAAGACTTTGAGATATCTACGTGAAAGAACTGACAAGGTAGCCAACGAAGCATTTCATAAACGTGATATTTGTACAATGTTTGGACGCAAAACAGAAAGACGTCTTGAGGAGCGCGTCGATTCTCGCCAGTAAAGGTCGCTTTTGCTCCCAGTTGCGGGATTACTCTTTGTGTCTGCGAAGCCTCCTACTAAATACGATAAGAGGAGAAGGCACACAGTGAGATACAAGTCGTGGATCGAAACAAATGTACTTGGTAGCTTGATTTGGCTGACTTTCAGCTTGGCATAAGAATGAGATTGATGAGGGGGGTATCGAAGAAGTACGGTATATACGCTCAAACGTACGCCATACGCTGCGTGCTCTCGCAAGACAAGCCACAGACAGAATCAATACAGACTATTTGTTATGGCATACAACGTAACGTTATCAGATAACTAACTCTTTTTTATAGGCTGCAGCCGTACTGGTATCCTCGAACGGATGCTGAATCATGTGTCTTTTGTATCTGGAGCCCATACTTATTTGTGGAGTTGGATGAGCCCACTTATTTTGACCTATGTCATTGATAGTTTATAGTAGTATTCGCTATCTAACTTCATTATTATGTGGCCCTTTTTATAAAGGGCCGCATTATAATTTAGTACTAGTAAAAGTTATGAAGTTGTACTTGCTTTTTCTGTGTTGTACGATTGGTTACATACATCGGCCAAATTCGCTTGTGCTGATACAGTATCTTCTATTGCAATTAAACCAGCATGGCGACAACGAAGTACTATTATACTATGCGTTGAATTTGCGTGGTTCTATGGACGGCTGCGTTTACGCTCGGCCTTTATTTCCAGATTGACCCACTAATTGAATGGGATAACTTCACAATGAGAATTAACGAATGAGCAAATTGTTCTCTCTAGTGAAACCCGGGATGCATAACGTGAAACACATAGGTTCAATGAATGATCACCGGCGGCAGAAAAGATGGGTGTAGACGTGCTGTGCACGCAGACATGCAAATGGGATACAAGCCACAGAACATGATGGCTATGATTCCTATCGTATTGGACGCTGCGTATGATTGTATGGCATGCGTCTCAGTCTATTGCATGCTGCACGACTCCCACAATTTTACTGCGAGTTATTGTGGAGTGGCCGGCGGAACAAGAAGCCGCAGTATCGTAAACGCTGTCCAATGGAGCTGTGGGACGTCAGAGGGTCAAAATCAACGCCATCTGCTTCGATACACGATACACACCAACTAAAAGCGATAGCAGTAGCTGTAATGGATAGCTCAACCAACACTAAAATCCGGTTCAAAGTAAGATGCTCAGAAGATCATTCCGGCTTACATTGGCCAATTGGGTGACTTGTCTTTTGTACAGCCTCCTTAAGGGTCAGGGAAAATTAACTGGCAGCTAGAGAGGCTGTCTAACCATGATGCAAGAAAAAAACTTGCACAATGACCGACGGCGACTAAGTGATTGGTAAGCTAATGGAAGTCGAATTCACGTGTGTGTGGGCTGATCGAAAAGTTAGATCTTGCAATTCTGATCTGCATGCATCTGTATGCTCAGAATTTCTCCCGGATGTGACTCAATGATTGTTTGTACCATACGTAAATGGCTCTACTGTTTCGGACAGAAACACGGCGCGTTGGCGTGTTATTGTATAATAAATAATAAAACTTCCAGCTAACCCTGGGCTACACAATTCAGCTGCAGCTTATCACCCGTTCCTGGAGGGTTCGATTTTATATAGCATTTTTACTACTCAGTACCTAAACTGTGAAGTAAGCTGTCTCGAACATGTTTCTAATGTTTTTTTTTTATCTTTCATAAAAGTGAGTACTCGAGAACGCACATAGCTTGGACGTCTCTATAAACCGACGAATCGTAGTTTATTTGCAATGACTTTGGTTGAAAAATCGGCTTTTCTTTTTCAGTGGATATCTTTCTCGTGCAGCCTTTACCACAGGCAAGGTATTAATTGCGTTTGACGCAACGATACGGTCACAAATTAAATAAGCCCGCTGCCGTAATCTGTGCACTGTGGATGCCAGTAGCCAGATAGAATACATTACATTACTACGTCAAACTAATCGATGGAACATTTACAATCATTATAGATAGTTGCCCTGTATGTTTCACTACTGAGCCCTGTTGCAATTGCCATCGCTATAGACAAGCTCTCACAGACATTTCACCAATAAAAGCACTTAGCACAAGTTACTCAGGTGACCATCTTGGCCAGGCAGAAAATTTCGATCAGATCGATCGATTTTTTTCTATTGTCAAACGGCTATAAGTATACGCAGTAAACAGCATCGCTGACTCCCTTTCTTAAGCGACATAATTCCCTTCTAATAAAGTTAAAAAAATAATCAAGAATATAAAGCGACTAAGATGGTACGAATGACAGTCAAATAGAAATTCAAGCTAGGATGCTACGCCAATATTATTTATTGAAGCTTTTGGTCACTTGAAAAGTCCGTGACAGATATATATATATACATATAAAGATAAAGTAGAATAATATCATAAAAGAAGTAACCCTTTGCACCTTTAGGCAAAAAACCAATATAGGTTTTTCCTACCTTTTGCTCTTTGAGGTAAACGCCGTGAAGACGAAACAGCTTAAGTCATCTCCCGGGGTGGTCCTTCTCCGAAGCAATGCGTCCAGGTGCATTCTATATATTAGCAATAATGTAAAAATAATACATTGCTATGATCAATTTCTATTATTCTTAGTTGTCAGTGTGGGCTATCGCTTTTTTCGCCTCCACTAAAAACAAGTTATAAACGATCATCAACATAATCATCACAAAGATTCGATCGGCTTAAACTGATGGTCGTCAGGGGAGGATAATAGCCAGTATTATAGAACTATTGACGTGCGTTCCTGCTATCGCTTGTCCTGCGGAGCAGCAGATGTAAGGCGTATTGCACTACAATGCAGGTGCCATGACTGTTACACATGAACTTTGTAATTTCGTCTGCCAATCACATCATTGAACCTATTCAAAAGCTTTATTCGGGCATATGCTCACACCAACTCACTACCGATTCCAACCTGAAAGGAAATATCTAGAAGCAACACGACGCCAAATTAGTAACCACCGTTCCGTTACCTGTACCGGCAGGTTGAGTGGTAATAGACAAGCCTTAATGGAAAGAAGTTAGTGAAGCAATTTGAACAGCCTCTTCTAAATCGTTATTTGGCCAGCGGATGTGCCCGCGAAACATGGACAGGTAACGGAATAAAGCAATAGCTGTCGACCCATAGGTGCCAATGGTTAAGTTAACCGCTAGGTGTAGTTACTACTGCATGAGCGTAAATGGCGCGCAAATTCAATCATCCATCTACATCCTAATAGACGGGCTGTCTAGCAGTCAGTCCATCAATATCTGCTATTGTTTTTGCACTAATCGGATTTATCCGATTAAAAAGTGCGAATCGTGTCGATCAACGCTTGTAAAATGACAGCGCCAGCCACAAATAGTAGATTTCCTTCGATCAGGATTGAGTTCCACGGCAAAGGCTACTTTGTTTTCGGCTGATTTCGCTGTGGTCAGCTTTCCCCGATTGCGCCGTCGGGATGGTGGCCATGATAGCATCAGACATAGAACAAACGTCGGTGTTCGCGTCTGTTCGTATTGCTTCAGCACTTTCAATTCAATGTCTCGTTCTCCATTCGTCACGCGCAGTCCGTTCGAATTGTCAATAACGCCGCTGTAGCAATTCAACAAACGCATGAGCAATCAGTGCCCCCTCCTGTTAATGTAGGTACGGCTAGCGCCCCATATCGTCGCCACCGCTAGTATGATTATAACCATTTCTACAACTAGTACTACCACAGCGCCCATAATGGGCACTACTTCTAATATAGCGACACTGCTGTTCAGTATGCTTGTGGTGGGGTCGCTCTGCCGCCACACGCGCCGTGTCGTGTCATAACGAAGGCCAGCAACATAGCGCCGGCATTGTTCCTGATGTTCTTGTTGTTGGAGCTGTCTGTCGTAAAACCCCTGTGGGGAGAGGTCAGTGTCCTAAAATGTAGTAGTTTTACTGACTGTGTACAGTCAGCGCCGATGATGTTTCCGTCACCGCTGTTACTTTTGCCGCTGCGGCCACCATGAAATAGTTAGCTTTTGTCTGAGTGGGTAGCCAACGAGTGCCCCCATGTGTCTATCTGTGTGTCCCCGCTAGTGCACCTCAGTACAGGCTAGATCGCCGACCTGTGCGGAAGTCTGTTCTACTACTGTCTGAACTACTACTAGACTAAACCGAGTGAAGAGCTCTCTACATGCGCGATGCCTATGCAACACAAACGATGACCACTAAGCTTACTCCAGGCATACGGCAGTACCTAATCGTTTTACCGTCATCTGTGCGAAGATATACTTAACCATTGTTGTGGACTCTATTTTCCAAGTGGTTCCGCTTTTTTGCGAACACGAAGTAATTGTGATTCATCAAAATACTAACATGCTGTTTCAGCCGGTGAGTACAAAGTGGAAAAATCGTATAGATGCTACCCGTGCCTGTAAACTTCCTGTAAATTTCCTGTAAACTTACAGTCTTAAGTTGTTCTTCACAATGCCGCAGCGGATGACTCTCCAGACGCAATATAATTGAATTTACTAATTTTTATTAGAAACTTATAATTGAACAATAATAAAAACGAATTTAAATCGGCCAAAAGCGATGAAAACAGAACTGGCAAATAGTTATTGCATCGGCTTAAAGAGTAGACTCGCAAATCGCCCCCGGGATCGTGTTCCACCACCATCGCAGATCGGCACCTGTGCCTTTAGCCTCCTGTTCTACATTCCACTAAAATGGTCAGACATATCATTGTCTTCATCTATAGACCCCCTATTTCATTTCTCTACGATCCAGGATCTGGCATTGACATGGTTCGCTGCTTCAACATTTACTCGAACATTTCATCGTGATATATTGACCGACCGGCACAGCAGAGGCATCTGCTCTTGTGTTGTAGTAGTCACGCGGGCACAATTGTAACACGCATTAACTCATCGTTATTTTTTGCGGGCGAGATGGTAACTTAGTGAATAACCGTAGCTATTCGTTCGCGTTTCCGTATCTTGAGCAAGGGTCTAAGGCTGTGGCTATTGCAAGCCGATATAAGACCTATTCAATTCATTTCTCAAGAAGCATTTATTTTTTTGCTAGGAAAGTGATATGGCGGTAAAGGCCTGAACGACCCGAGGTTATCGAAAGGTTTTTTTGCCGCTATCAGCTTTTCCTACTATGTGAACGACTCCTTGGCATTACCTCTCTGACTCTGTATTCAGGACTCATTCTCACTAGAAGGTCTAGCCCGGGCGGGTTTTGGTAAACTTGTTTGAGGCTTCTTTCAACAAATTTAAAAAACGGCATGGTAACAGGATGCCATGGTAATTATTTGTCAACAAATTGAAACCAGCGATGGCCGCATGCTCATGGTTACAATGGTAACGCATTTAAAAAGGGTCACATTAGGCAGCCAGGTAACGCTGCTTCGCCAGAGGGCATCAGACTAAATGTGCGACAAGAAACAGTTAGATAAACGTAGGTGAATAATATTCAGCGAAACGCCAGAGCATATGGTTTTTGTTTTTAGTTTGAGTCTGCTTTGCGAATACATGCTGCTCCTGCTGGGACCAACTTTCCAAACAAATAAGTCGATAGGAAGATCAAAATGCATACGATAAACAGAGCTGAACGTTATGCTGAGGCTCACTTGAATAAAATCCTGGCTTTCTGGAGGCTACCCATGATCAGACAGAACATGGCAACGCGACTCCCCACGTTCCCATGTCAGCATCAGTATCCGTCTTCGTTAGTAACTACTGTGTTTGTAAGGTTACCGGACAGTGCGAGCGTAAAATCACACAGACGGGACGTGCAATCCGCATAAATGATGGCCGCTGTATTTCTGATGGGGCTTTACCTCTGAGCTCCCAGATACTTGTTCTGAAACGTTTGCCCCCTCCCCTTGTCACCTTGAGTTGGTGCATAAAGCACAGGTGGGATGGCTGCTCCTTCTTACGGGTCTGCTGTTGTGAAGACGGCACCAATACGAGTAGAGGGGCTTCTGCTGTACTTGTTGGTGCTCGTTGCTATTCGTCACCACCGTGGACGCCATCGGCAGATTTTCAAAGCCGCCCAATACCCTGCGTAGCACACAACCCCCTGAATACTGAGAGAATAAACATCAGACTATAAAGCAGATTGCGAACAGAATTTTCAGCAGGGGCTCTCTTCTGACGCGCGGGAATGAGTTTTGAGCTCTCGGAGTTGTTGTTGGAGCAGTAGAGATTTACACGAATGCGGCTGAGTGCGCGGAGCGAGGTCCTGGCATAACTGACATAGCTAGGGGCCCAGTCCTGCTCGGCGCTGCAATCTAAACGGCCTTTCATGCCCCTTCGAGCATTTTCATATCTTAGATTTGCATGCAGGTCGCCAGCAACAGCATATCGAAAGAGAGGGTCGAATTGCCTGCTGGCTAAATAGCTATCTATCCACATATCTGGTTCTCGAATGGGTGTAATGAGAGGGCTAAAAGTGTCCGTCTGTTTCTGCAAGATCTGAGGTCAGTCAGATGTTGAAAATTGCCCGTATTGCGTCGGTTTTAACCTAACTGGGCCCGCTTAGTCTATCTGGCCGTCGTTTGTATACATCGCTTCGAGTGATCTTTCGAGATGATTGACAAAATTGTCCATGTCCACGTAGTTAAGAGCAGGAAATATTTCATCGGAGAGACAAGCCCTATATTACTACAGTAAATTGAACTGTGTTCCTGTCATATGGACCAAACATTTTCAAGACACTTTAGAAGGCCGATATATTGTATGTGTGCGTGTATCTCTCTGGGTATATCGTGTTTCGGACCCGGTTCAATTTTGCTTCGGTATGCCGGACCAAGAGTGGATAATGGCGTTAAATCGTTGGGCAGTGCTTGATGCCAAAAATGAACTCATGAATAAGCTTGACGTTTTCAGTTTTAAGGTAACGATGACCATACATATAAACGAACGTATTGTGCATAGTTAGTTTACCTGTGTGGTACTTAAGGTGTTATTTCATAGAAAGTCATGGCACTGAAGAGCTGCTTGTTGCTATTTTCGATACTGATTTAATTTGTCGATAACAGATGCACACGAAAGGACCTATTGACTAATGCTTAATATTTTCTAATATTACTTTGTATTGTTAGGCCGTCCTAGTGCTGCCCCCCTGGGCTGCTATAAACTATTATTGTTACTACGGTTATGTACTGTAGAGCGGAAGCGACTGAAGAAGCCCCTGTCGGCTTTGTACATACGTACACAGAGCTGCCCCTTAGCAGGACAACGCAAGAAGCCTTTTAGAGAAGCGCATCGGGTTAAATGTGCGCGAGATAAATAAACAAGTTGGGACACCGGTTCATTGTGTCCATATTAGCCATAGCACCAATCAACCCGTAGGTGAAATGTGCCTCAACTGGACTTTGCTATTCATACGCATATCTAAGGGCCCGCAACTGTCACACACATATATGTGACACATTGGGGTGTGCAGACACATAGGCGGACATAAACGTCAGCCGAGTTTGGACCGGATGTCTCCGGGTGACCACGCTGTAGCTACAGAGCGATTGCTCACCACTAAAAATTGCGTTTAATGTAGCGGTGTTCATGTTGGTAACGGTAGTGATGATAGAAGCGATATGGCCGCAGATAACGTAACAAGCAACAGGCAGCGGCGCAGGTAGAGGAAGTAATGGCAGCAGAACGATTCCATTGACGCGATCCTGCAGCGCGCTAACTTTATTGTATATGCGTGTGTGTAAGTACACGAAAAAAGCGACACGACAATTTCACCGCTAGAACTACCGCCGTGGTAACTGCCCGTTTGCAGGGATCCGGACCCGACCAAGCACCAAGAGCTCATTTAACTGACTGGTCAACAGCGACAAATTGTCGCTGGTTCTCTTCTGCCCAGCAGCAGCTGGCCGTTTGTTGTTGTCAGTGGTAGAGACAATGGTTTCACTTTTCAGCTGGCATCAGTAGACACAGCGACGAGTGCCAGCGGGGCTGGAGACGACAGTTCGATACAAACTATTCACAAATGTTGCTTATGTCCCCTAGCCATACGTGCTGCGACATCTATAGCGGTAATAGGAAGGAAGTCCGCCATATTGTATTGAGCCTGTCGTTGAGAGCCCCTAGCCGCATTGGCCAACAACGGGATGAAAACGTATTATTACCATAACAATAATAAACGTCCATAATTAGAATAACAACATAGACGACAAGGTGGCGATCGTGTCGATGGTGATGAGAGGAAACAAAAAATAGCTTTTTACATCGATGAGCCAACCATGCGCGCATGTATGTACCGAGTAATCCGTTTGGCACCCATTCGCGCGTCGAAGAGTAATGCAAGTACAAAAAAGACCAGCTATTTTCAAACGTAGGAGACAACTAAAGGACATAGAGAATCGGTAACAAAAAAGCGGGCTGTGAAAGACACCGGATGCCTTTATGTGTGCTTACGCATCTGGGACAAGCTTGAGGAGGGAACGGGAAAAGTAGTGGGTAGAAGCTTGCTACAACAAGCTCACTCCTAGATCCTGTTTGAATCTCTGGTAGGACATAGCGATCCTTTGAATTATTCGAGAGTTCGTCCGATAGCGACGACTGTCAATTGATTACACCGTTACGCTAAAAGCATCCAAAGATATCGCCGAAATATTAGCCGTGGTACGTTGTGGAGGCTACAAGCTGAGGAAGGCTATATCGTCTAAAAGTAAGCGTAACAGCCAATTTAGCATACATTAAACCATAGAGCAAATGCGTGCGACTGATAGCACGAATCGTTACGTTCGTCTTACGACAAAGCGCTATCAGTAAGGCTCGCCCTCAGCGAACGCTGCCTGTGTGTGGTGTAATGAGGCTCTTTGTTATTCGCACTTTATATTCAAACAAATGATTATGTAATAACAATAGGGAGACGCTGTTAGCATCTGTTACCATTTGCGACTCTCAGCCCCTATAGTTTCCATACGCCTAAAGCAAACTACAGCAAAAGGGCGAGACCAAAAGGCCACAAGGATCAAGCACAAAATTCGACTAATAGATCATATCGTCGAGCGAAACGCATTCGCTTGTGTAATCGTGTGAAATACTATCATAGGCAGATAAAATAAATACGTGTACCTTTCCTTTTCTAGTACATATTACGTATATCTAGCAAGCGACATCGCATTAATGGCACTTTTATAATAACGCGTTTAGCTTTGTTGTATTTCTCAAAACGGAAACATCTTCCAGTGTTCCCTAAGTCCGACATCGCTGTTAGCCAAATCTCACGCCAAATGGCGACGACTTAAGTGAAAATTTAGTCCATTGTTGCAGTATTCTGCCTCGACTGTTGTATATACTGCTCGCGCATTGCTGCATACCGTGGCCATGGAAGTCGGGTGCAGAGGTGGGGTCGCCCTGGCCCCACTGGCGAGAAGGGGCACCTGATCAGCCTTTTCTACTACGGGCTGCGGGTAGCGGTCGGAAATGGGCAGCGCAACAAAGATAGTAGTCGAGATCGACTAAAAGCTGGGAATGTAGATCGATCTCGGAAGTGAGAGCTCTACTTCCTAGTGACCTTCGTCGTCGTTCTGTATGGGACAAGAAAAACTATGTGAAACTCTACAGCGGATCTTCACAGAAACTAGAGACATTTGGGGCGAGAGCGTCATCTGCGACATTTTAGCATAAACAACCAGCGTTTCTCTAAGTAACGCAAATTGTAGTATCTATGCGTGAAACGGTGCCCTTAATGTAAAAGAATAGCACATCATCGATAGGGTCACTGTGTTACTTTGGTGTTGTAAAAATTTGCTGTCGTTTTTCATGGAAACGTTTGTAACGAAACTTTGAGATGTTGCCAAAACTGTGCCAACAAAATTTCATAACAATTTTTAGTATTTCGTTAGGGCAGTAACGGCGCGTCCTGAAGGATCGTCCGTGTCATACAGCCGCGAAATAACGAGGAAATCTGAGGTGGGGATTGTCTGTATTGAACCTAACGTTGTTGCTGGTAACCGGTTAAACTGTTAGCTACAAGACGCGTTCGACCGATAGAAAAAGTATCAAGTAGGCTAATTAACGACCTTGTTTGACCTCTGGCTTTAATTAACACGACGCAAATTTTCCGAAGCTGAGAACCAAGCCGACGACAGGGCGGCTCGCGAAGATGTGTTACAAACGATGTGGAAATTTATGGCTCAGGAGACGAAGTGTAGGGTTAGGGGAAACAACAGTCTGAGGCCAGAGCGATCAGCCACCAACAGAAATGCAGCAACGCGAAAAAGATCAAGCCGAAAAACAGGTACCGGTAAAGGAAAGGTTCCGGTGGTCGAGCTTAAGGTTATTATTCTTGTAGTCCTTTGTTGTGGCAGCCTCTTTAGTAAAATTCTGCTATAAACTGCGGTTATTCATTGGGTTTGTTAGTTGCAGAGAAACACGTGCATATTGAATCTTGACTAGGTCTAATCTTAACGAGTGGTATGTGATATCAATAGACGATTATTTTAAATTATTAATATAAATAGTAAACATGAAAGCTTCATCAGATCTGTCCTCACATTTGATACTCACCCTACTAGTAGTAGGTCTGACTCATTTCGATTCAAATTGTGTACCTATCCTATCTTTTGAAAAGGCTAAAACCTCTTAACGCTAATCCACCTGCAATAGGCAGTAATTTAATTAACGTGTAAGCTATCCCTGTAGACGTTTCCTCATATATCAATGCAGAATATACGAGACCGTACATTGCATTATGTTAACATAAATATATAAGCAAACAAACAGGTGTTTACTGAAACGTGTATCGCATTATGTCACCGCTGTGTCCTTTCGTAGTTCATACTTAATTTACTTTGGATCTTTGTCGGAGTGACAAAGGGCGGCGTTATATTCGCCAAACTAGTTATGTTCTCGTTCATCGGATGTCATTTTGAAATCGGTTGGGCTTGATTCACCTGTCTCGAGTCCTGCTTGGCCGTTTTAAGCCCGAACTACGGCTGTCTGTCAGTTGACTTCGTTGCTCTCAATTGGTCCGTCTTAGTTAGTCAATACGCAATGGCTCCTAGTCACCTTTGAATAATGCAGGATGAAGACGACTCTGAAAATGAAGCCGAAATCTTTCCTCCCTGTTGTTGCTTGTTGTAATAGTTGTGACAGTATCATAGAAGAAGCAGTAGTTGAGAGTGAAATCAGTCGGGTAAGCAAGAAAGGGGATTCACTCAAGCGACCAACACGCCGTCCGCTGTGTTCGACCAATTGGCTGACCACTCGCTATTTCAACAACTTGGCCAGTGACACCGCTTGAATGGACAGAATGGCTGACTAAGCCCAACAAGCCCTCTTCGGCACATTACTACGCCGCCATCATTGCCACTGTCAGTAAGTACCACTATAGTACCATCATGGTACCACTACCTTTTCATTATCCTTTCGTCCGTCCACCCACTTGTGTCTCTTCCATGGATAGCAGTGAACTTGGATCGTTCTCGCTTCCCCGCGTATCGCAGTTATTGTTGGTGTAATTACAGCTGAAGCAGCCGATCTGATGTTGTTGTTGCCGCTCGATCCAGCACAGTACTCTTGTTGCTGTCTCAATGGCGACGGCAACAGGGAGCAGCTAGCCAGCCGCTGCTGGCCATTTGGTAGGGAATTACCTTTTTCCGGTTGCTTCGTAATATCTATTCACTTCATTTCAGTTCAGTGCCTTTTTCTTGAGCTATTTAGCTCGTCATCGTTTCGTCACCTCATCCTTCTTCTTCGTCGTCGTCGTCGTCATTGTTCTTTCTGTTCTCGTTTTGTTAATTTTTTTTTTACTTCTTTTACGCGTACACATTGTTCCCCATTGTTCATTCGTTGCTAACGAACAAATTCCACTCAAACACGTATATCGATATTGCCTGAAAAGCTGGTTATGGTAACGTTTGCTCGAAGAGTCTGGAACATTAGAAATAGGTAGTTGAAAAAATCTATCTGCGCCCATTGCCATTGCGGTAATGGCGGCACGATCACCGTAAGTTGAAATCGGAAGAGGAATGGAGCGTAGGAAGAATATCCATGGTATATTTGGAAAGCTGACGTTTTCGCACGAGAAAAATTATAATTAGCCTCCATTAAAACTTACCTGTCATTTTGTTTATATGTGTAGAGGTTGAGCATTTGGATCGTAAACATGTGAGTGCCATTTCCATGTACGTAATAATAGTGTGCGAGAATTAAATAAGACATTGCTACCAAACGCTTAAATAGATTACACAGTTATTAATTAGTGCCTACGACAAAAATAAGTGGAGGGGAATAACATTTCAGCATCGCCTCTATTGTTGGCTCACCGATTGACTTTGAAGGCCAAAGGTGGTATTACCTGGACCCGCTCTATAATTACTTTCTTATTTGCTAATGATACCGTGTGTAGGTTTGCTAGAGCATAGGACATATATATGATCGTTTTTATTGTTTGACCGTCTATCAGGACATACGTGTCTAAATGTTTATAATACTTATCACATCGGTCATTTCTGCCCTGTCAGGAAAGAGTCGTACGTTTGTACGCACCGTTTTTGCCTGTTGTAAATTTCTTACGTTCATCTCTTCGTCTATGTAATAATAATCTTCATCTAACAAAACTGTTTAATTTTGTCTTTTGCAGGGTTCTGATCCGCGTGCAGCTACATGCCGCGGCAAGATGCAGTTCCGACGCTCTAAGCTTAACAAAGAGATCACCAAACAAATCCACATCCGTGATGGAGCTGAAAAGCTCTACAAGTACGTTATACGATATGCTCACGAGATACTCGGTTCTGATAACATTCACAGCTCGATAACATGTACCGAAAGCCGTTAAGGTGGACACTAAACACAGATATTCGTACATCATAAGTAGAATCATTTTACATTTGTCTATCGCATTTGGAAATTGTTGCCATTTATTGCCGTACATGCACGTACATGTAATAATGTTCGTGCACGCTCTCGTAATATAACAGCGACGGCATCGTCATGTATCTGTGGTGATTATGGCTAGAAAGGCTGCGAAGTTTTCATCCGAGAAATACGCAGTTGTAGTTCCGAAATTCCACAGCATTTCCCTGAAATTGAATCGTGCACTACTGAGAAGCCACTCAGAAGCAATCGCTGACTCAAACTGTTCCCGTTCAAAAAATCCCCTTATACTCAATGAGATTACATTTTAATCAATCGCACGACCAGTCAATGAGCCTGCCGCATCCATGTCTATCAGTTACATCCATTAAAAACTAGCGAGCAAGTCATCATAATACAAGCGAAGGGCCAGTTACGAAAGAGATGGGTCGAAACCGTGTCATTGAATTAGTGGCTTCAGTAAAATATTGCATTACCTGGAGCCATAGGCACATGCTTCAAATACAAAAAATACAATAAGCCATTGTACTTGTAGGTTTATCAGCAAAGTTTCTTGGTTTTCTTACGATTTCCTGTTGGCCTCGCTTGCGTTTGGAACGGCTATGCCTGATAGTAAATAAGGAGGCGACTGTATAGGTAAAAACTCGTTTCGCTGGTCATTATCATACTGCTAGTCGCTTCTTTCTGTCCACATGCTTTCACGTACGTTTATCTATGGAGCAGTATGAATGTAAATGTGCAGTGAACAAACGAGACAAACTGGGAAGCAGTCGTACGAACGGTGACGGTTCAGTGTAGCTGGAAACAACGACGGCTTGCCACGTTAAAATGTATGTTTCAACTAATGCGACGTTTGCCAGTTGTTCGAAGGAGACTGTGTCCTGGAAATGCATGGACATAAGTTAATCGGAGCAGCTCAAAGAACGACAAAAATGATGCTACCGCTTACGATGACTACGACGGCGGTCGCGTCTTCCATATTGATTATTGCTTGTTGGAGATAACGATAGTCATGGTTCCCAAGAAGGACTCGCGTCGCTATATGTAGCAAAACTAGTTCTTCCGGCCGCCTACTTGTTCTATTGCGGTCGCTGCGATTTAATAAATTGTGCGCAATTTAACGAGTCATACGATTAATTTTATGCGATTACACGAACTACAGTAGTGTATGATATATCCTATATACTTCGAAGGGCTATATAATAGTAGGGATTCTAGCTAAGGCAAATGAAAAAACAGCATAAAAATGAATTTAATCCACGACCACTTCCAGTTATCTCATCAATAATTTGGCACCTTCCACAACTTACTGAAGTTTTTCTGGGGTATTTAGTTAGGAGCACATAAGGAAGCGGTTTCGAGTGAGGCTACGGCCTAGTTAGGGTAAAGGAATAGCCTCAGCTTCAACTTGACTGATATTCGGGCCACAAACCAAAGTTAAGGATGGCTTCACTTTTGTGCATTGCTTGGCCGGTGCCGGCGGAATTACTCTGGATCAGCAACGCCGTTTTGCATATGTGCCCACCACGACTGACCGCGATCATGATACGTAGAGACCGTGAACGCATAACGTATGGTCCATATGCGCGTATACAGATATACATGTACCCTATTAATATTATACTGCGGTGGGCTATATATTCTGTAGATATCGCTATATTTGCTATTGTTATTCCCACAATTCGTGTAGTTGAAGCTGCTAGGGCCGGATTTAAGACCGGTATATCCCACTACAACTAACAACATCGAAATATTGTATTGAAATAATGGTTAGCGCTCTTGCTACTAATATGACTATTATAATCAATACGTTTCTCCCAAGAACGGTCGAGCTTAGATACGGAGCCGACGTTCATTAGTCCGACAAATGATCTCTGTAGTATTTAAACTTGTGCCAGGAGCGACGGACGAACGCCCAGAACACGAACATATTCGACATATCTTTGCACAGCAGCGGTCTGCGTTGGCGAATCAATCTTCATATCGACCCATGTTCGGGTCGAAGACGTCCTACAGTAAGCCCTAAGTGAACCTCGGTCTTAGATCTCATTTGGCTTCGGTAGATGCGTTGTAATAAAAGGTCGAACACGTTCGAAGCTTCGTCGTCGATGTCGTGTCGCTGGTCGATAGCGTTTGGTTTTAGCCTCTGCTTGTTTATCGAGTCGCGTTACATGTGTAAGTAAGTACGTATGCTTGATTCTTTCTTCAAGCGAATAATGCAATCGTAGCTTTGTGCTGTGCGGAAGTAAGTCCATCTCCCACTCGGCCATTTTCTTCATTTAGTAGAAGTATATGATACGTTCTTGTTGTTGTTACATGCACACGAGAGTAGTTATATGATGGCGATGTACAGCGCCTCCATGCGGTCCATTATCGCCGCGACCGCTGTCATCACTGAACAACACAGAGAGCTCTTCTATTACTACTACTGCTGCTGCTGCTGCTGTTTCTTCTTCTTCTTCGCAAACTATTAGTACAATTGGCACTGTACAGCTAATATCGTGTGAAGATTCACGACGTTAAGCCACCAGCGATCACGGAAGGCCACGCACTTACGGATTCATGGAATGGCTACACTGTAAGACGCACTACGATTATCGTAATTATCATATTTAACGCTATTATCTGTTAACAGCAGCAGTAGTTAGAAGAACAGTAATTCGTCTGCTTGTGTCGGAGCGCTAAGAAAGCGCTCGGGATCGTTTAGTGGTTCTTCAAAGGCGCACAAACAGTTCTGGAAATATTGGCCGTCAACGTCGTTAGCGTTATCGTCATTTTTGTTGTTGTAGTGTTATCTTTTCCAAAATCGTAGCTGCGATTGTTTCAGGGGTTTCCGCAACGGATTAATCCGCCATCGCTAGAATTCATTGGAGGACCCCTCGTGCAGTTTGCAGTTGATCTCACCTTGTTTATCAGACAAACGAAGAACGGCTCAACTAAAGTCCTTTCTCTCGCTCCGTCGGAGGCACTTCCTTTTGCCTGTTGTATTTAATCCTGCGTCTCATGTCCGTCCACTTATCTAAGCATATAAAGCTGCACGTCCATTAGGACCAACAAATGCCGTTTCGGCGTGGGCACGTTGTCAGAGCGCCTTGCCAGCAACGACGGCTGGCCGCTCTCGCTCTTGCCGCCGCAGTTAACAGCTGTTGACCGCACTCTCGACGGCAAGTATGGCGATGACTTCTAGATAAAATTCTTTAGTAAATTCTCAGATATTTATCTCTATCTCTCTCTCTCTCTATCTCTCTCTCTCTCTCTCTCTGCATTTGACGTTTATTGGGTTAATTCATGGGCGGGACAATCAGGCACACTACGTGCGGTTTTAGCTAGCTCTCGTGACAACTGCCATATGACTGCACTGGCAATGGTGGTACCTATTGTAACAATGGTACTAGAGGGAGTGCTATGAACGTATGGTAGTCGACACAAAAGCACAAAGCAGGATTTCGTCCACGCGCGGTCAATTCGAATACACAACAGCAGCAACAGTAGCAAGAACAACAAGAACAAGTATAACAACAACAACAACAACAACAACGAGAACGACGACGACGACGACGACAACAACAACCAGAACGAAAACAACAAGAATAAGAAGAACAAGAAGAAGAGGAACAAGAACAAAAACAAGAACAAGAACAACTCACATAAATAGAAAGATACACAGAAAGTCGATATAAACGGACATTCAAAACAACAATCTAAAGTCGCTGTTGAAGTTATTGCGATGACTATTAGGGCAGCTGTGAATAGAGTCCTGCGGGGCAGTCAGAAAAAAAGGAGGAAAGTAGGGGAAGTAAAAAGACATGAGAGAACGCAGAAGCAGTAGCCCTCGCACGTTGTTTTCGAAAGTACAACTGCTTCGCTAGCAACGGCTGTAACAGCCGCAACAGAATGAACACCTGCGTCAATGACAAAAAGCAGAAGGCAATCGTCATTCCGTTGCCACAATAACAACCTGGCAAATAGCAAACAATTGCATGCGCTTTTGTGGCGGACTTTTTTTATGACGAGAAGCGAAAATTGCCAAAAAAAACCTCTCGACTGCCGACGATCGTCGACACATTTATCAAGTCGAAGAATGATATATTGGTAATAATTATGTTATTGTACACTATAGCAAGCGATGAACGATCGATATGAGTGAAGGAGCTGTATGGCAGTTGGCGGGTCATGAACGCCATCATCTGTTCTAGGGCTGTCGACTTTGACCGCTTCTCTATATATGATACCAGTACTTATCTTCACATGTATGATTGCTACTTTGTACAATCAAATTTGATTTTTTCTGCACAGCGAAAATACAACCAGTAGAAACAAGCGAAAATATTTATCGTGCTTCATATAGACGAAGCAATCCCAACGGCGATACAAAACGAGTGCGTTACTTCTATCCGAGATTCGTCTATGACTGAGTTTTTGCTAATCTTATTTAGGTGCACCCGTATGCTTTGTGTCAAGAACATGGTATCTGACAGAATCGTGTCATTTGCCGACTTCCTGCGTTCACGCGGCAATCCCTTCGTTTACATAAATCTGCCCGTGACACGTGTACACAAACATCTGTGTATTCGAAGATATATGAGCGCCATGTGGCCGGCGAACGAGTCAATATTGTCAGGCCCTGCGTCACATTCACACACATTCATTCATCCACTTAAACATTCAATCCACCATCCATCCATCGATTACCCCCTTAAGATCGTTACATTGAAGTTGTTTCGTGATCCCCTCCTACTGCAATACAACTCCTCTTATAACACTGCTACGAGTGAACGTAATTAGGTCGTGAACATTGTTATTGTGATCAGGGCTGACAGCTTACGTGCGACAATGATCTGCTTCTATCGACTGATCGCTATTAATCGATCGTTTCAGCTCGCCGCTGTCGTACATCGTTGTCCGCGTCTATTTCGTCGCCAAACGCGCCTCTGCCTGCGCAAAAGTCAAGGCGGAAACGGCCAGCGTTTCTGTCGACGCGCAGCTGGCCCTTAGTCGTCTTCCCTCTACGACACGCGACTTGTTTCGCTGCAACTTGACGACAGAAGAGTAATCGAGCGACACGTTGATCAACGACGTTGACGCGTCGCCTTTTCCTGTTGGTGGTTAATGGTCTTATCGGTAGTAGTGCTAATAGTTCGGACTGCATCGGATTGCGATTGCTGTATATGAATATAGAGGCAAAACTGGCAACGTTGTGCAGCCGCGACGACGATCGATGCGCTTTGCGCGACATAGACAGCACTGCAAAAGTAAGCTTCCTCGCGACTCGCGAAAAAGTCCTTCAAACGGTGCTTCAGTCCTGTGTGAGGTTTAACTGCTCGCTAAACTGAGTTGGCATCGATCATAACGATGTGGCTACATGCGTACACATATAGCGAGCGGCCTGTCAGTTGAGCGCGTCAATCTTGATCTGCCCTGTCTGAGTTGGGCCTGATGTCGGTAATGGTGACGGCTGCGAAAAGAAAGCAGGAGAGACAGTAACACTGCAGGCTGCACCAGATCTGGCGGCAGAGACACCTTATAGATTGATAGGCGACAAATGCGCTTTTTCCCAGCGAGCTCTTGCTATAGCCAGTGGTCGATTTGTTGCCTGTGCCGTTAGATATGCCACCACAGTTATCGCTGCGAGCTAAACACAAGCAAAGAAATAGCGTACGTACACTCGTGATATATAACTGCGAACAATTGCAACGCTAACGGTTTCGGCCACAATAGTCAACGGTCGTCAAGAACGGCAGCAAGAACTTTTTGATAGGCATTACCACTGGCGCCAAACATCGATGATAGCGATATAACGCTGCAATCAGGCCATCGTCGCTGCTTGTTAGTAGTTAACCTACAAAACTTATCTCAGGGAAAAATCCAAATCGACCGGAAGTATGAGCGTCAGTCGTTGTAAACAAAACCGGTGCTTTTGTTAAGCCAGCAAAGCTATTAGCACTAATAGATGGCTATTGGCAAAAATTCAGCTTCATTCTCCTAACGTTAGAAGCGGCGCTGTTTCAATAACAGATGCACGATTTTTGTAATCAATACAATAACTTGTTGTGAGCATTTTGTTGTTCTATAATAATCCGGTCAATATTGCTTATTTACTATACTAAAGAAGTTGAACTGTAAATCTCTGAATGATTCCACTATGCTCTTATATATCGTTATACTGAAAGTGATCGATGTAATGATGGGACTAAATGTGAATATTTCGCTGCAGTAGAATAAATCCGTGGCAGCCCTTAATGCCCTGGGATGACTAGTTGCGCCTAGGCCTGTGGCTAACCAATAGCTGTTGTGAAGCTTTGAAGACATTAGCAGTTCTACATATATATAGTGAAAGCGTACAAATACAAGCCGGCCACTTACTATTGTGGCGGCATTACGTTTTGACGGTAGTGGCCGTTGTTGTAGGGACTGTTGTGGCGTTGCTGATATATGAACGCAACAATGTTCCTGTTGGCGAAGGCACTTGAAGGCTCATACGGTTTATACAAATCATCATACCAACAGCAACGGCAGAAGTAGTTGCTAACGGGATCAATAGCAGTGGATACTTCCGTCACCTGAAACAACAGATCCATCGCCGCGCACAACCAAATACGCGTTAGCTTTTTATCTGCTCGGCGTGCTGATGCTGCTATGACAGTAGTAAACCCTACGCTGATCACCGCCGGTTAGAGCCTATTCACCAATTATCGGCCTATTTAATTACTTTGTCGTCCGCGCGTTCTGTCGTGCTTTCGATAGTTTTGTATAGTTTTGGTACCTTCATCGGAGTTTTGGTGTGTGTGTGTGTGTGTGTTGTAGGCATTTTTTCTGAGTGCAGACGAGCGCGCTACAGCGGGCGATTTCGCCAGCAACCGAGATAAACATCAGTCCATCAGCAAAATGGAGAAGAAAACATAGACTCGAGGATTTGCCTAAACGGCAACTTTATACGCATAGCGTTAAATGTGTATATATGTAGATATATGTGTATGCGTGTGTTTGTATTTAGATGGACAAAACAAGCTCTGCTAACTGCAAGAAGCAATTAGTAAAGCTGTGGTAAGGCAGGGCAAAGGTCAAGGCAGGCCAGGGATGCTTGTGGTTTTGGCGATGCTGATGATAATACATTTGTTATTCGATTATTTTTTTTCTATTTTCTGCAAGACTACTGTTAGTTATGTGCTAATGTGCCGCGGGCTCTGCCCGAAGCGAAAATTGCTATGGTTACTGAGTGTTGTTTACTGCCCACGCAAAAATGGGTAGCATTGTCAACAGGGATGACAGCGGAAAGAATTGTTCTGATTCTGTGACAGCCAGCAATGATCGGTTCTGCTCACACGCCCTCTGCTGTGACTGACGAAACTACAAGATGCTAAAAGGAAGACTCCGTTATTATTACTATAGATGTGAGACTTATAATAGTTCTTATTGAAGTTAGGCGCTTTTCTTTTAGGATAGTTGTTGCTAGAATGACTGTCATTTTAATTAAACATAACGATTCACCTGTACACAGACACATATGTATAGGATTTATGGTTATGTAGAGTGTTGATCGGACGTTAACGATGCTAACAGCTCATTACATTCGCCTTGGTCGTGTTTGTGTTACTATCTGCAGAGCAACTACTAATAAGAAGTTAAAAGAAACGGTAGCGCTAGAGCTCAGCTTTCTCAACTCTAATCTGCAACTACTTAAGGAGCAGCTGGCCGAGCTCAACAGTTCTGTACAGATGTATCAGAATGAAAAGTAAGTGTACTACCCCCACTTCATGTTACTATGCCAATATCCGAGTAATGCATAAGGCACTCGAATAAACTAACTCTCAAAATCAATATAATTGTAAAAACATTTAATTTAGATTGAAGTGAACGCATCAATGAAAAGGAGCGAACTCATTTAATGTTAGTCTATATTTTCGCATTGTTCCATCTTTGTAGTCAATCACAGATCGTGCCTATGATTCCACTTGGTCTGAAGGAAACCAAAGACATGGATTTTACACACGCGTTTTCGGATTTCATCGCCGAACACTACGGAGAGGAGCTACATTCGTTCGCTGACGCCATCTGCGAATTTCAGGCTATCCGACAAGCAGCTCGTACACCAAGCCGCAATCAGGCCGGGGTTCAGCTCCTGTTTGAATATTATAATCTGCTATACTTCGTTGATCGGCGCTTTTTCCACCCAAAGAGCTCGAACGTGTACTTCGAATGGTTCGACTCGCTCACCGGAGTGCCATCTACGCAAAAGACGGTTGCCTTCGAAAAAGCGTCCGTTCTATTTAACATCGCAGCGTTATATACGCAGATTGGCGCTAAGCAAGACCGATCCAAACATACCGGAATCGACGCAGCTGTCGACTCGTTCCTTCGGGCGGCCGGAATGTTCTGCTACATTCGCGATAACTTCAGTAAGCCGCCATCCATGGACCTCAATCTAAGTACTCTCGAATGCCTGTCAAATATCATGTTAGCCCAGGCTCGCGAGTGCTTATTTGAAAAGCTTGTCTTGAGTGAACCCAAAGGTCTACTACAATTGGTTGAGGTAGGACAGGAGGCGGCCGAGGTAGCCGAAGTGTACGCCCATGTCCATAAGCTGCTGATTGACCCTCCAATTAAAGATTATTTGCCTTATTCGTGGGTCAGCCTGCTATCGGTTAAAGCTGAACATTATCGGGCGCTTGCACATTTTTATGTGGCATGCGGCCTTCTCGAGCATAAGGGCGAGTTGACCGAGGCGCACCGTAGGACTATTGAATATGTCCACGTAACAGACCAAGACGACACGTCTCGCATTGACATCCGGGTGCCCCGTGCGTCCGATGAGCGCGTCCAGTTGGCTAAGGCGCATCTGCATGAATCGCTGCTTCTGCACGAGGAAGCTTTGCGACTTCACCGCATGTGCCGTCAGCTTCGTCACGTCGACAATCTTCAGGCGAGATTGAGACTCGACCATGAAATAGCCATCGACAAATACGCCCAAATTGAGCAAGAGGACGACTTTAACCAGGTTCTGGACCCGCCTCATATTCAACGTAAGTTTGTTATGACTGATTTTTTTTTCTACCTAGTCTTCTGTGTTAGCTTGAGATAAGTTTTATAATGACGCCATCCATCGAACATTGTTAGCATGCGACTTCTATTAAAAACTTTGCTTTTTTCTACAGCCTCAACAAAGTATCAGTTGACGCTTACTCCACCCGACTTTTCTGCCTACAAAGTGAAGGACCCATTTCACGCGTTAGGACCAATCAGCGTATTCAGTGCGCGCAATCAGTGGACTTCTGTTCGTAAAGCTCACATGAAACGTGAGAAAAACGAAACATTTGGCTTTAGCGTCAAAGGCGATTCGCCCACAGTCGTCGCCGGTGTGGAGCCTTGCTCCCTAGCCGAGGTAGGTCCTGGTTAGGATATGTCACTGCTTTTGCATTTCTGGCATTACTAGCACTTCCGATATCTCTATGCATGCACGTATTAAATTAAAGAGTAAAACCAATCTTATTTTATAATTCTTAATATTTTATGAAAAAAGTAAGCCGAATAAAAACGAAAAATACACGTACCCTTGAATAAATGATTAATTCAATTTGCTCCGCTATATTTTTTTAGTTGTCTGGCGTTAAAGAGGGTGATCTAATCGTGGGTATTGGTGATCGCGACACAAAGTGGTCAACTCACGAAGAAGTTGTCGATATTATCCGAGACGCAGGCGACGAGATTACTATTAATATAGTCACACCGATCACATCCGATCAGCAGCGATCGCTACTTGAAGGCTCGTTAACATCACCGCGGCGTAGTTCGTCGCAGAGCCCTACGGCTTCGGTCTCCTCTGGAGTGTCTTCTACTGGCTCCAGCCGTCTTCAATCACCGAATGGGTCAATCACAAGTGGCAAGGGTCACCGCAAATCCTCGTCATGGAACATATTCAAACGAAAGGGGTCGACCAGGAGCTCATCTCCATTAAAGGATGACTCGCTGATCATCGCTTCATAAACAACGCTGAACGAAACCTCCATATACAAACATATACCATTACATGCATATACAAACGAAACAACCTTAAGTTGTCAATCATCATGAAACTTACAATTGTTTCTCACAATTTGCCTCGATCATGCTGATGACACACATATACACGCATCGGAGATAAAGCCAATTTAACTGATACGATCCTGATACTGGACCAACCTACTTCATAGTGCTATAGGTTGATCAATAGTTCCTCGGCACCAGCGCCACTCTAGTAAGCAGCTGCCTATCATCCCTGCGTGTGTGGCCTTCCTGAACGGTGACACCGTCGCTTCGGGGGAACAAGGCTGTCTCGTTTCCTTAATAGACACATTTGTAAAATACCAGCTCAATGGTCGAGGCAAGTTGAGATGGTTAACTTGCGAGTGTCTCGAATGCTCTCTTATTATATTTGAGCAGTAGGTAAATAAGCATATATGACAATAAATAAGGAGAGATGCCTTCGGTCCGCACAGAGAAGTCCTGCCCGTCGCATTGTAAATAGTTCAAGTGTCAAAGCAGTCCAGACGAGGCGAGAAGGGACAAAAACTTTCAGTGCTAGTGCAATGTATATATACAAGGAGAGAAAGATACGGACAACGATAGAAGCAAATGGTAGAAATCGTGCGAAAGAAGAAACGCCTGTAACGACAGGACGATATATAGGAACAGAAAAGAAAGATAAAGCAAGTTAATTGCTAGCAGGAGTATCGTGGCCGATTGCCGCGAAATTATTACGTAATAAAACTTTTATCACTAATGGTATGGTTCATATATAGTATTTGTAAGCTGAAGCCACAAACGAGGCTAAAAAGGAAGTTATGTACTAGAAAGCTATATGCTTCGATAATCTTTGACATCTTGTTTAGAACCTACGTAACGGTATGATGGTAATCGTATGAGCTGCAATGCGTGACACTGACTTGAAAACGGTATGAGGACCGAGACGGATAAACAACAAGTAAAGATTATGGAAGATGAGGACTTGCAGATTACTTCGTAGCCTCGATGAGCGAAAGTGGCAAAAAGAATGACGTAGCTATTTATCGGACCCCCGGTGGGCGATATTTCACAAACTGTTTTCAGAACATATCATTCATACTAATGATAGTAACTGCGAGTGTCAGAATACGAACAGCACCGAATAGTGCCCAGAAAAATAAGAAGTGATGAAACAACAGCAACAACAAGCTGCTTTCAATAAATGAAGATAACGTGTTTCTTTATATCTGATGCTTCTTTTATTCTTCTTGTAGTCGCCTTTAAAGACTATAGCGCTAGTAGGTAATGGAAGTTATCGCTCGTAAAGTGAAGAACAGCTAGGGGGAAGGGTGTCTCTGACAAGTTCAAAAGGCTCTTTTGGGGTCTTTTGAATAGCTTATAGATTTTTGCATCTTCATTTGCAGTTCAGCATACGATAGAGTGGAAAACGATAATAATTATTTAGTTAATGTAATCCTATGAGAACAGTCATATTTAAAAAAAAAAATTATTTCTCTATAGCGAACTCATTTTTAGCAATATTAGTTTACTTCAATTACTTCAGTGATGCGAAATTTATTTTGGATTTTTCTAGTAAATGATCAGTGGCAGAAAAAATGTTCATACAGGATTAATACGGCTCTTCGATGTAAGGCTAGTATATTTTCACTATATGTAAGAGCTAACTTGCTCTACCAGAGAAAAATAATACTATTTATTGATAACTATATGCCAATAGAAAATGAATAAAAAAATCTTCACTTTTAGAAACTTAAGGAGTGCTAGCTTACTAATAGCCCCACTCCTCCTGTGTTATTTAATTATAACTATAAATTATATATAATTATAACAGCAATATATATATATATTGCTATTATAATTACATATATTTATATGTATATATATGTAGCAATTATAACAGCAGCGGTTCTTTTCAGCTGAAAACGTCACAGGCTCTGAATCTGTGCTTGTCCATAACTCGTATCTCATCAAGATGAGTGATGAAGTGTTTGTAGAAGACTTACCTGTTGAGTATATTTTCTACTTGGGAGTGTTCCTAACTTGACGCAATGTTTTACGCTTAAACTATATACGAAAAATATCTGGACCATATGTATAGTATAGCTGAAATAGCTCTTTTAGATGTTGATTTCTCTATTTCTTAGCTACTTAATATGATTGATGTCTTTTTTTTATCGATTAAGCTGCTATCAGCTTTAAGCCATCGCTTTTTTCTCGTCTTATGAACCGTTGAATCATATGAGAATAAATTATGTCGTTAACTCCCTCTACTCGACGTCATGTTCCGGATTCGCTCGAAAAAGTCGCGTATTAAGCAGGGCATCATCTGAACTATTAGATGAAAAACGGTGCGAGCATTACGACCACACCGACAAATAAAGACGCCTACGAACCTTTACTGTTTTTTGTGAATGCTAAAACCTATCAGTACTTCTGCCCAGGGTTCTGTCGCCTTACAGAATAAATAGTGTTGGTAGAGTTAAATTCAAGAGCGAGATAACTAACTGCTTATAGGAAAATAATTTTCAAATATTCTGCCTGTTTCTTGAATACTCATTGTTAAACCCTCTTCTCGAAAAAATAAAAAAAAAACGGTAGTCATATTAGAAATATTGCCGCGCCGTCTTTGAGTGTTCGAGTTTTATGTGGCGCGAAAGTAGGCATCTACACAGCCATTGCTCCATACGTATCATATGCAACTATGTCTCAGAGGTTGCATCGTAAATGAGAGGAGAGGCAAGGCAAACACTGAGTCTTTTTGCTTAAAATAGTAAATGTCCGGTTATGGTAATCTATTTAAGTGTAAAAAAGTTAATCTACCCTTTGATTTGGTTGTCTTAAAATCAGCCTAAAGTCTAATAATCTCATTTAGAAGGGCTATAATTGATGTAATCTTGTGTTATTCGACTGTGATTCAATTTTTTTAAACGTGTTCAACGACGAAATCTGAAGTGCTTATTACTTTTTGATAAAGCTATTCGGAATCTTTCTCTCTCTTTACATGACATGCAGAAAATGAGATAAGTACAAAAAAGCGGATGAATTTTTCTACAAAGCAAACACATCCAGGCCTTACGGGGTAGGCCGCTAACACCTACAAAATGAACATTCCCTGAAAACATACTGGAACAAACTTTTCAGTAACTTCGATACTTTACAAAAACTAAAATCAAGCTTATTTTTTTTATTACCAATTTGTAAATATTATTAAGGTTTTGACATTGAGGGCTATATTTGAAGCCTTTTGTCTTGTTAGCTGCACAACAAACAAGCCCAAGCAAAGAGAATATGATTCATGGCCGCGATAAATAAACTTCATGTATCAACTATAAACTAGCATTAAGTTACAAGGCACGGCTGAGGTGCTACGTATGTATACATTAATTAATGTGCGCGGGATACAGCACGCCAAATTGTATTTTATCTGGCAAAGCATGTTTAATGTAGTAGATCAGGACCAGATTGCAGTGGAAGAAGAATAGCTAATCGTTAGGAAAAAAAGCAGGCTCACAGTGAACGTAGAATTAAACCGGTCGAAAGGGAAAGATTTGTTGACTCCTACTCATCTGCAAATGATACGCCAACTGCAGCGATGTAATATTTCTTTAACACTACAGTAGGATACTTCAGCACAGACTATCGCTGCATGTAGGAGTTACAATTTCGTAGAATATACTTTTGAATGCACAGTTTCTAAATTCACATTTGTTATTTAAAACATAATTAACTAAGACTGGGATTACAACAATTTGGGCAATTTATACACCGATCTTTTTGCGACATACACACACATGCATAACATGCATAAATATGAAAGACATTTCCGAAACCGATACGCCGGCATCTTAGGGTAGGCTTATCGATTGCGAACAAGGGTAGCAAATAAACCCGCACGATTGTGCATTTGAATTCACTCAACAGAAAAATAAATATACAGATATTTGAAAAACTGGAACCTGTAGCACTTACGAGATTCAATGTAAATAAACTATGTTAGGGATTATTTCAGTACGGCAAGGCACGCTAGTTAATGAAACCCGTACGACGTGTTTCCACATAAACAACTATTAACTAATTAATTATATTAATAATAACATTTTTAATTTACCCTCCTTTTACGGTCCACTTGCTTTTCCCAAAGTGTAAATTCTTATTTTTTTTCCTTGGACCTCTTGCAACCTGGTTGCGGAATATATATCAAAAATCGCTCCATCCCAAGGCAAATAACCAATGTATTTCGCGCACTTAAAGAGCCATGTCTTATAATATCGGACATCTCTGCTCCTTTATCCATTCACAACATTTCTCACGTTTCAATGTTCATTTTCATTCGACAGGGTTAACATGTGAACTTTGTCACGCTTTGGCTCGTAGACGATACCTTGCCATAGTGAGATTACGTATTCTCGCTTCTCGAAACGTATTCGAAATTCAGCTGTCGATTTTGGCAAGAGAAAACGATGTTTCATTCGGTAATTTCGAAATTAGGATACAAAAATCATGTCCAGAAATATTCGTCCGTCATATATTCGGGAAGATCAGGGAGATATCTCTGAGAGAACCGCGCCCTTTTTGGTGTCAAGGGAGTTCTCGGAGGAGAAAAGTGAATACGGTAAAAGAAAGACCCGTCGATATCCATATCAGCCGGAAAATGCAGAGGACTCATTGGCGTTCCATGCAAAACGTTGCTCTGTCCTGATCGTTGCAGGCTTGGTGAGTGGCGTGAGATACGTTGTTATTAAGGCTGAGAATTTGTATGAGTCGTTGAAACGGTATTGCGCAAAGTCTTCAAAGCTAAAAAAGGTCAAAAATGCTTGTGGCAAGGCCCATCGTGCTATCAAAAAACAGCTTCAAACACCGTCCTCGCTGTACGACTATACTTTATCGCCGACATCGGAAGGTGCGTCGAGCTTGTGCTTTAGTGCAGAAGAACTTGACCAGAGCAGTGAATCATTTAGTGAACGATGGGTAAAAAATAAAAATACTGCGTGCCATGCGAGGCTACACATTCGCTGGGTTCCTGATGTCCATTCGGACGACGGGTCGAGCCATAGCGATAATTTGTCATTCCGCGAACTTGTTAGAACTATCCAGCGCGCAAAGTTCCAAGTTGAACAACCTGCCAGCTGTAAACAGGAACCAAAAATAATAGGCATACTTGACTATAAGCCGGAAGCTAAAATCGATAGTGTTCTGAAAGATGAAAAAGAAAAACTCTTACACAACAAGGCACCAGAGGATGACAAAAAGGTATCCAAAGACGACACGGATATACCTAAGGACGACAAAGGGATACCCGAGGATGAACAGGGCAAGTCGGAAGATGACAAGGGCAGGACGAAGGACACCAACAAGAACGACACCGGCCTTGAGGCAAAATCAAACGCGATCGATCATCCTCAGTGACATTATAAGGATGACTAGATATGTATAGCTTGTAAATTCGCTGTGGAAAAGTAAAATCGTTTCCTGTGCAAGGCGTATAGTTATGCTAATGGGGCTTTTGCTAGGGCTGAAACATCTCAGCACCATAATATCTGTAGAGTTCATTATTATGATATAGTAAACTAGCAAAGCCATTAGCTAGTTAAAAACTGTCATATTGCACCTTGGCTAGTGTTATGTTTTCTGGCCGATCCTCGTGTTGGAGCACTCGACAACATCTACGAGTAACTTTTCTACGCGAGTATGGAAATGTGAGGTGTGGGTGCTAGACTATAAAGCAACGTCCATATACCTTTCATTCTTTTAATACTGCAAAGATACCATTATGCGAGAATGATTTAGATGAAAATGTCTTTTCGCGGATGTCTAAAAGTTTAAAATTGAACAGGCGATTTATGCAAAACCGGCTTACTACTCCTCGATACCAACGCTTATCGCTGGGACAAAATGGTGTGTCGTCAAAACAAAGTGCCAGGGTTTATGCGAATCTCTTAAGAGAACCAAAAATATTAGCAAGATGAACAAAACTGGCTTGCGTGATCGTCTTATTTGTATTTATATTTAAGTGTCTTACTTTTTTATAGATATATGAATTAGGACAAACAAACGTCATACCTGTGCGTAGTCCCAGATTAAGGTGGTGTCTGCTAAGGTGGAGGCCGAAAAAAATAAGGGTGACACCAGTTACAAAAACTTATTTTGATCTATTGATCTACAGTAAAAACTCATGAGAGGCGGGAAGTGATTATCTGAAACCATATTAAAGGATATTTTCACATTGTCAGCGATGTAACATGGTGTATGTAGATGGTCTTGGCGTTTGTAGCTTGGGAAATGGGGGCTTTCCCCGCCAATTTCGGATACAGGCTTCAATTATTATATAAGAGGCTGTTGTGTACCGATAGTAGGCCTTAGCACTATTCCTCAGTGAACATAATGGCATCCTGCGGTGCAGTCGTAAAGTCCCATGTTAGCACTAGACTTACGACGTGCTTCAAGCTTCAGCCTGACCTTCTTCGACACGTAAGTGTATCTATGTAAACGCATAGATCAGAGCACAGTCTTATATCCATCGATAAAATAAAGCCATTTGGCAGTTGTGAATGAAGTGGATCTGTTTCCGTCCTTCGACAGAGTCTGTGTTACATGCTTTCAGAAGAGCCGAGGTCTTCCTGGAGTGCCGCCAGGTGGCAGCATATGCTTCGTATCTTTGTCCGATAACGGTGCTTTGAAGTGCGGTAAGGGCGCGCGGTGAGGGTAACGCGCATAGCGGTAATGGTGGTGCTTTTTCGCCATTCTTGTGGGTCAAACCCGGCCTACAGATCTTCGCAACGCGCCATCTTGGAATTCTCCCCAGCCATAAGATGTTGCGCACAGACGTCGTTGTGTCACGATACCTGTTGGTAGTGGTAGCTACGTCAGCTATTCATTTTTCGTGATGTGATTCCTAGAGGATGTAACCTACTAAGGTTGAAGTGTAAGGTGTCAGGATGAAACCCCCAGATATCCTGAGGGGTGTATTACTATTTTATCTGTGTTACTTAGGAATATTCGTAAGAGATGCATCGTCCCAACAAGGACCTTCAAGGTCGTTTCGACCTCTATCTCGGCCACCACCGCCATTGCTCAATATCTATGTGCCAAGCATGTCCAAGGCGACCCTGCCAGCGGAGCATGCAACTACCAGGAATGAGGTCGTATCAAAGAAATCTTCAGTCGTCGAAGTCAATCCGTATGCCCAATCAGTTGTCGTGAACAGCACTTCACCATCAGCAGATGCGGGCGCAGGTGATGTCGTTACGCAAACTTCGGTGCAAGCTACTGTCACCGAACAAAAGGAGACCCCAGACGACAAATTTGCAGCTGAGGAAAACGCTGAAATTGTGACGAAGACATCAGTGCAAGGTTCCATCGTCGAGCTTGGACCTCAAGGTCCGAGCGGCGGTTTGGTTGATGGTGTCGGTGATGCGGAGGACGTGACCCGAACTTCTCTCAAGGTCAGTGGCGTGGAACTTGGAGAAAATGGGGAAGTTGTTAGCTCGTTACCTGAGGACAATCTGCAAGACGCTGTTACGCAGACGTCGATTAAGTTTACTCAGCAAGAGGTGCAAGAAGACAGTGAGCAAAAGCGAACATTAAATAGTACAGGCCTTTCTGGCGACTTGAAAACTGGAGTAGAAAATATTCAAGAGATACTTAAACAAATACAAAACGAAGTCGGTGAAGCACAAGTACTCTACGTGGCTGATCCTAAAGCAAAGAAGGGTAAGAGCCCATAAACATTTATGCGTCATGAATACATAGCTTTGATTTGTGATTCTGTGGTATTAAAATATTTGATATTTCAGATGATACCGAGCATAAATGGAGACGTCAATATTGTTGGTTATATTGTTTTCCGTAGCAATTTCCACTCCGAGTTCGGCTGAAGTGCACACGAAGTAGATACGTTTGGTTTCGAACTAACTACATTTCTATCGTGGCTTATTTACTACTGTTACTTATCTAATTCAAAATAAAAGAAAGCGTATGTGTGACGTATGTCCATATTTGCACGCATACCGTGCGTTGGATTTCATTCATAACCTTATTTATCATTACAATAACCAAGCAAAACGCACGAAATGGTCCAATAATATTTTCGTGTGCGTTATAATCACCATCATTTCGTTGTTTTTGCTGCTGATACAGTCTGTTGTATCACTGCTACTGCACGCTACGCGTTAACCAGGCCAGTAGTGTTTCGTTGGTCGTGACAAGGTCGTTGGATAATGCCTAAATCGGCCGCGTTACCTAGAAAACAGTGGCTACCAGCCAGGCAATAATGACGGCCATAGGACCACATCTGCTCTGTTACCTTTGGGGGGGACATGCTTGCCATAGATGCCATTGTTGTTACTGCTAGAACATTCGTTGTTGTCGTCGTCCTAACTGTTTGCTAGTATGAGCATCCCAGAGCTTGATCGCATTTCAGTGCGATGTCACGCTGTGGCACTGTACCCATAGCAGCCGACGTACAACACCAGGGAGAATGACGTGGCCAGCATAGAAAACCTGTTGACCTTTGCCATTTGTGCAAGACATCGGTGCCCGTAGAGTCTTTCGTTCTTCTTTTTTATTTCGGTGTTTTTCACAAAATGACGGTAACGGCTGTGGCAACAGCAGTAAGCGAAGCACCAGCGTCTGCGCTGGGGTTTCGTGTGTATTGTCGACCTATGCTACTTGAGGAGATTATAGCGCGTGACATTATCGTTGCGAACATCGACGGTGCGCGAAAAATCGCTCAAAGACGCCGGGGGTTCGAGTCGATGCGGCCAACACGGAGGTACCAGTAAAGCAAATTAGAACGACATTTTGACTGCCGTCTGCTATGATACATTTGATCAATACATGTTGTCGCTTTCCTCCGATAGACGCTCGTCGCAAACCAAACATATCAAGCAACAAATGTAAACAATAATATCGGTCATCTGCCTAATCATAAATTGTCCAAATCGCTTGGCTCGATATTTCTCGCAATACAATATATATATTGTATTGCGGATATGTGTGAAGTGGGCAAACCTTCTTGTGGCTTGTCACAAGCTTTATCACGTAGCGTAATTCTCGCTCATGGATCCTCAAAATAAAAATACATAAGTATAAGAAACTAAATTAGATGCACGACGTACAGCCAAAGCGATTAGACAATTGCTTATTTTTTTTTTCCCTCTAAATACACCTGTTATCGAAAACCAACAGTATGGACATGTCCTAGGAAGTGAACAGCAGTGGGTAACTAATTGCTGCCCGGTAGCATGATATGTTTACCTTTTTTTTTTTTTTTTAAAATACTAGTCGATCTTTGTTGGTTGATCACGTCACCAATGAAAGCAAATAGAAAGCGTCTATTTATCGTTTATATACAGTAATCGGAGTACTCATATCACTGATATAATCATATCACTGATAGATTTGTATCTCGAGTGGCTACTCGTCACACGTGATTGTCCAATGTATGTGAAGGGAAAGGATTCCTCAATCGACGCCAATAACGGCTCCTTCATTTGCATTCGTTAGAGGGCGGATAGACTTTATTTAAAGATAATAGTCTAGAAAAGCTTTAGCGGAATCGGATGGGTATTGTAGTAATTTGTGTCACTTTCGATCGCCTCGTATCACCAATATGTACGTGTGCTACCGTTGTAGATTTGTTTCACTGGTCGAAGCCGATAGTATTTAATTCTTAAGAACCTTAAAATCGCGGATTATTTCAGTTGACTAGTCTGCTACTGATCAGCAGTACCACAACCATGTCTAATCTGTAGGGTTACCGAGATATAGAATCACGTCACTACCTGGTTGTGGACATCATCTTTGTTAGTGCTACAAAGACTACTGCTACTTCGCTAAAGAACGAGCAAGCGACAATAAAAGATTAGGTCCAAATTTTTTTCCGTTCGCTTTTGACATGGCAGGACAAGGATGTAACAGTCATTATTGCACTTGAAATATTGGAGAATAGAACAGAGTACTTCATATATCTCTATATGCCGCACCGTCTTGGATTAGGTCTGACGATGAGGATTTGTGAGATTTGAAGGATGTCGAGGGGTCGACTCATGTCTGATTTGACATGATATGCTTACATGTCTATGCTGTCTCTCATCGATGAGAAGCTATGAGTGTTCTGTAAAAGGGGCCGCAAAAATATGGTCGCCCATTCGTACTTACAGATCAACGAGACTTGATATCAACTACGGTTATGGCTTGTTGAATTTATCGGAAGCCAACGAGAACCAAGCGAGCGGGTTCATCTGCTTTCGTTCACTAAATCCATTTATTCTACATTAGTCAATTCAGTAGCGCGTCATCTGGTCTCACAATACGACTCGGTGTCGTCAAACTGCCAGCCAAGCTGGCCATCGGTTTCGTAAGTCGGTTTTTTGGATCCTGCCCGGTACGACCGGCTAGCTTCGCACCCTTAAAGTTTTTCCTGGTGGTCAATGTTTCTGCTAAGGTAGTGGCTTCGGTATTATGTCGAGCCATTTGCTCCAATTGGACCCACCTCTTCAGCATGTGCGTCGCTGTTGCCTGCGTTACGCCTGTGCCAATTGTCGCGTTGCTGGCTGTGACCTTGTGGCTTCGGTGACGGTTTCGTACTTCCGATATTTTTATTCTGTGGCCGGGTGTTTGGTGTTTGGTGTTGGGTGTGCATGCCCTCGGTCCTGCTGCTGTTAACAAGCGTTAAACTAATGGTGCTAGTAATAAACGTGTTCTAGCGTCGTTATGAAAGTAAGGACTGTTGCGAGCAGTTTAGTTCTTTACAAAACAAACATTACTTTCACCAGTAGGCAACAATAGGACAAAAGAGACTGGTATTATGGTGTATGCCTCAATGCCTTAAATTTCACCACAAAAAGTTCAGGGCCCGATCTATGTAACATACACGGGCCACTACAGCCGACATTTCGTTGGGAACAGAAATACATACAAATGTGTACATAGATTAAACGATTTTTTCTACCTAAGGAAACCTAAAACCCAGATACGTTGTTGAGATTATGGTACTCATATAAAAACATTTTTCAGTACGATTACAAAAAATTATTTTTGTTAATAAATTAGGACTTTCTCTAGTCGAGGGGCTAGATCGACTTCATGGCAAAGTTTACGCAGTTGTAAGAAGAAGCCATAAACGTAATATTTGTGTTAACGGCCAGTGGCTCTAACCGCCCGATTTATGTACTAATGAACAGACACTACACAGGTATAGAATCGGTTAGTTTTTGTCCTATAAACACCCAATAGGCTCATTAAGTTATACGTCAAACGCTATGCCAATTACTTTTTGCCTATCCAACTTCGCAAGCAAAATCGGACCTTTCCTGCTTGAACCTGAACTTGTTTGATCATCTTGAACTATACCTATTCCTCCATTGCAGTTATTTTTGATGTCCGATTACATTTTCTTCCATGCAGTTCCTTCATGCCAGCTTGGTACGACCATTTTATTTTCTAGTCTGTCACCATGCAGTGTAATGTTATTACTCTGTTTTCGCAATTCACATACATTGCAACAGGGGAACCACTACCCCCTTTTAAGTGTTTTATTGCTTAGATTTATACAGATTATTATTATATATATATATATATATATATATATATATATATATATATATATATATGATCGTCATTCTGTGACTCTGCATCAATAATCTCACACTTCCATGCAATGAAGATAACACTATGGGTTCATAGATATGTTGCTCGCGATTGCTGTCTTACTCCAAGGTGAAACTGCGCTTAGGTTCAGTGTAAAAAAAAAAAAAGCAATTTTTGGAGAGATTATTATGTTTATTTTTGCAACGGTGAGTTTCATGCCCACAGTGTAGAGTTGAAACAAAGCAATTTTTATATTTTACACTCTCAGTCTAATGTCACCCTGCTCGAAAATGTCATTTAGCTCAAGTTTTTTTTTACCCATGGTTAATAAGTATACAAAAAAATTTCAATTTTTTTTTTGCCAATTTTTTCTTATCAAGGAAGGAACAAAAATAAAACGTGTGCATTGAACTTTTAAGCTTGCTAATTTCCCCAAATCGCCACAACGTCCAAAAATTAGGATTATAACGCAATTAGTGATAACATGTTGAAATTAACGTACACGATTCGTTCGATATACTTTGACACGCCCGTTCAGAAAACGCGATACTTGTTGCGTGACATTGTTGAACTGATTTTGGAGGAATGATAAATTCGCGCATTTGGCTCCGTGCCGCGGCTGCGCTTTACGATTTACTTTATGAACGGTACCACACCGCTTGTTTAAAAGTCACAGCATTAAGCATCGAGCTAACGAGTTCCTTCAGCGATCCGATACGCCTTTGATAGTTCAGATAGGCCATACAGTGGAACTAACAGACATACGGCACTTAAAATTTACATCTATTTTATTTATATAGAAATAGATATTTATAGAAATGTTTTTTCTTTCCGCATTGCCTTCGAAGTTAAATTAACCGGAATAGGAATTAGGGTACGTTGAGCGAAAGCTGAACTACCTACTGCGTTTTACGAATTAATAGTTAATTAACGTTTAGTAAGGTTTTGATATATTTATCGGCAATAGATGCGTTCACCGTATAGCTATGTTTATATGAAGCTTGAATGGTGGCAAGAAGTACCCTAAAATGCAATTAACGTAATGAAGGCCGGAGGTTTGATTGTGTGGCGCTTCTACAAGTAGGTCTGCAGGCAGTGTTTTTTCCTAGTTGAAGTAACTGGTAGATTCAATTTTACCTAAGCGACAATATTACTTAAAGACTCGCGACCTGAATGCTACAGGGCGGACTATCATAACTTCACTTGTCGCATTGTTACTTCATCTTTACGCAATTTAATGCGATCATTTCATTATTTCTGAAAGCTAAATGATCATCTATGTAAATTCGTAGAACAGCTTCGCTATGGGCAGTACCCACCAGACATTCAGGATAAGCCTCGTGTTCCATAATTCCATTAACATTGAACTAACGTTTCTTTATGGATACTGATAGTCATGAACAACCTCACTGCAAAAACATCGACTGTATGTCCATTCTATCAAGCTGTTAGCTCATGCTTAATTTACACTTACACTTGGATTTAATAATCGAATCTGACTGACTAGACACAAACTGAATACGTTATTTTGCCTCTTGCCCCTCATTTTGCTACCACAACCTTTACGCTACCAAAAGCGTTCATGATTGAAATATGGTTCTGCCATTGCTGCTCGCTGCTAATGACATGAACGAGCGAACGTCTTAGCTTACGCCACCGTCATCGTTGTAGCCGTAGCTGAAGTCTTTTGGCGACCAGTCGTTGATGATGGTGTGAAGATCGGTTCGAAAATGATGGCATCCGTAGTGGCTGCCAAAACGATCATCGCTATCACTGTCTGTCGTCGAAAGTTACTTTAGCTCCTTCCGCCGTTGCAAAATATAGGGGAAACCGGGCTGATGATTTTCAGCCGTTTCCAGCGACGTCTATTTTCAAAACGGAGACAGCGTCAGGACGAGAGCATAGCTGAGTTAATGATGAAGTTGACGTTGCCACTACGATTATTGCTACGGGTACTACGATAACGACTATAAAAAAATGTATCCGTGCTGTTGTTGCTGGTTGATGCCCCTGTAGCACTGCAGATTATAACAGTAGAAGTCGAAAATGCTGCTCAGACGAAAATGGCGGAGGTTCAGATATTAAAGAACGACGAGCAGGCAGCAGCTAGCGTCAACTGGACCTGTATCTAAGTTGTAGTGACAAGCAGTGGTCGTACAAGTGGTTGTTGTAAAACGTTCGTCTGTCAAAGGCTTTTGTTCACGGATTCCAAGCAGAGCAACTGTAGTTATCATCTCCGCTAGCGGTTCTTTAGAAAGACTAATAGTGAAACTGTTTCAATATAATATGTTGCATATTGCATGTTTATGTGTTAAAGTATATGTCACGCGTCGCAAGTGACTACCTTTCCATACTAGCATGGCAGTACCATGTAACTTGAACCAAAGCAGAGCGGTAAATTTGACGAAGTGTGCATGCTAAGTAGGCAATACTCGCGTCAAAACCTTACATTTGTCGACAACGTAAATAGCAGGCAGCTGCGTTGGTTGGCCTTTTTTCCTTAGTTTTCAAGCACTTACCCTGGTTTACCACCAAGTTGCTTCTGTATTGCTAGGGTCCGTGTATAGTCAAATTCTGTACGCAGTGTTGCAAAGATTGCCTTCTATCAGAAACAAATGCAGTTGAGCTCCACTATAACTATAGTCCGAATAAAAATCAGCGACAATGTAATCCTTTCAGCTAGCAAGCTTCTTTGGTGCTTGTCTCTGCCTGAAGCTCACACATACACATCGATAACGTATTCAATATACAGGGACAGAGCTGACCCTTTCCGTCACTATCCATTCTAGTTAATATTAAGCTAAATAGAAGGTAAGCCTCTAGTTTTTGTTTCCTAGAATAAAGCAATATCAATACACAAGCGAATTGGTTCACAGTTTTGCTTGCCCGGGTCACGACATTCGAAAGGTACAATGATCTGATACTGTAACAGCGGCCGCAGTGATAACGGTCGACTGTTCTGTGGGTTACGCTTCAATATTCGTGTTTGATCTGAATTTGTAGCATCGAAAGTGTATAATGCGTAAGTTGATGGAAGAGGTTACGCCTTCGGTGAGATAAACGAAAAAAAAAAAAGCATATGGATAATATCACGTCACATTGCCACAAACACGCTAAGCAAAGGCACGGACAACAATCTAACTCTGTCGGCGGCAACTGTGAAGTGGCGAATTCACGCTATAGACGGCGGACGCTAGGCGTGAGTTATGTTAGGATAAGGTTGCAGCCTAGAATACCATCATGAAAAACAAGGCTGAAAAAAGAAAGTGAACATATTTTTAGCCCAGTGTTTAAGGTGTGGTTGTTAATACAACGGAATATTTGGCGATGTAATTTTTATCATCGAAGTCACGATCTGGGCTAACAACTAGACCCAATAAATTAAAACCAAAACATTTCGGCTGTTAGTTATTTAGATATGTAGCGATCACTACGGGTAGATTATTTATGGAATGATAAAAATGACACGTTTTACAATATAGCTCATATATAAATAAAAGAATATAGCTAAGCAGAGCTTTTTTCCAAACACGCAACTTTAGGATCCTTATACGGTCCATTGTAATGCAGTTTTTTCACACGTACACACAGTAGTTCGTTAGCAGAACATTTTGCATTGTTTACTTTTCGGTAATTTCGTTATTGCCATCCGAGCGACCTTTAGGAGTTTACGCTGGCTTTACGTGCATTCGAATCCCCCGTTCACGATAATTTGGCCCCACAGTGCCTGTTACGAAGTGGGCGTTACGTTTCGATGTTTTTTAGGCTTAGTTAGTAATAGAGTAGAAAGACGACTCCGTGACATTGATCAGGTGATCTCAAAGCAAACGGGAGAACAAGCGCTTAACTGAAAGGTACAGAAGTTCAAAGCGGTATCCGTTTATCTTAGACTATTTTTAAGCCTATTTTTTAGACTATTTTTATTGCCTCGATCTATACAGATTTGTTACATATTCTCGAATGAAGTGATTAATCATTTGAATTCATCTCTAACTTCCTTCCTTCCTTCTAACAGCCATTTTCATGGCATTGACAAATCGTAACTCCTCTACTTAAACAAAAATTTTATGGGAGAACAGACGATTGGAGTAATTTTTTTTCTATGAATTTATTTTTTGATCTCAGATTGAATCGAATTTATGAAAGACATCTAGGCAGAGCCTGATTTGTAAACTTGTTTTTCTAACCAATGACGCTTTCGACGAAAGACGAAAGAGCTTCTGGCGAAGAAAAAAAAAAAGAAAAAAAAAAGAAAAGCAACAAATTGATGAAAGTATTTTCGAGTATATACCAATAATGTTTTTTGTTATCAACGCAATTTTTATTCATATATAACTTTAGGAAACATTCGCGACCTAAGCTAAGAGTCATCATGGCTCGGGAACGGTATTCCATAGGAAGCAACCCTCCGATTACATTGCCTATCACGAATTGGTCATCAGGTTCCTTCTTCGACAAAGTGAGATTAACGTAAATTTTCTTCAAACAATAACTTCTATAATAGTTTTCAATAGCAGCGTTTTTTTTTAATCTTCTCATAACTAACGAGATGAACATCCATTCCAAATCTGCAGCCCGGTTGAATACTAAGCTCCGAACAGAGTGTATTACTGCTCTGTATGAGGATCTTATGTCGAGCTGATCGATGACCCCAATCATCGGTCTTCGGTTCTGCCACAAATTACAACATATTGCTCTGTCAAAAAATATAAGTTTCCTTAATTTTACTTCAATCAATCCCATACTTGATTTATGCGAAAACGTTATGCGAACTGTAATAGTTGAAGATTTCGTGCTTCTAGAAAATAGTTAGAGAACAACGCATAACTTTTGCGCCAAAAACTCAAAGTTCCGCAATTCAAAATATCCACATTTTGGCATTTTTCTGTTCGTGAACCCAACGTTAACTTTCGATTTGGTGTTGTTTTTTACAGTGAGAGACTTAAATGAAAACCCGACCTGGAACATTCAAAGGACAAAGTCCATGAGTACGCGCAAATGAGAAATGAACGTTTAAGAAATCCTGCCTACGCTGACTTCATGGAGCCTCAACAAGTATCCCCTAAGATATGAGCAGCTAAATTACACACGCCATTATATACATTTAGCCCCCTATGTTTTGAGTTTTACGTCCGGTATTGCCGTTAGGCATTCCATCAGACGGCCGGCTGGCTGGCTGGCTGGCTGGCTGGCTGGCTGGCTGGCTCCCACCACGAAACAAAGTCTGTCTATGCTCGGGTTCGAACCCCGATTACAAGTTGTAGCTAAGATCAACAAGCAAATACGTTATCCATTATATACGTTTAGCCCAAAAAGCATCTATCAATTATGCTAAACTGCCCTGTCTTTGTAGACGGTAGTGGTGAAAATGTCGCACAATTATCTAGGGTTCCCGGTGCTCAAGTAAGCGTCTTCATTAGTTGCTGGTCATGTTGTCTAGAAATCGACCGTACTTACGAGCTGACCCCTGCACGCACGGCTGGAGAGACTAGAATTATGTGCTTATCTATTTCATAGCCCGGTTAACCCCTGCCTGATATGCTGCGTTCACGTCCATAAAGTAGTGCACGCAAACGTCACCAACGTAACAACATGTTGTAAGACACTGTGCGCCGATAGAACAATGGTCGCGGGGTTAAGGGTCAGAGGGAAGAATGATTATGAGAATGTTGCTACTACCTGTCTAGTTTGTTGGCTTACAGATAGGAATTTTTGAAAAAACTGAAATTTACAGTGTTCAGTTTCTCACAGTTTTTCCATGGTGACGAGGAGCGAACAACCTTTAGGGCTGAAACAGGGTTAGACAAAGAACGGAAGATAAGGGGGTTATCCTTCCTGACGTTCCCAATTTATACTCCAGCCAGCATCCGTGCTATTCCGCCTCGGCATCATAATGAGCATCACCAGTTACGATGACTGTGGACAAAGAACAATACGCGTATAATACGATTACAGTTTTAGTGCACTGAGTACTTGTTGAATAGCATTCTGTAATTTCTGTCACCGTCACTGACTGAGCAATGGCGCGAACATCGCTTGGCTTTCCCGGTGGTAAAGCGATGTCTTATTATTATACTTAGCTCGAACATTGTGCCAGCGAAACACAATAGAAATAGCGCTGTTCTTGCTACTGCTGATGGTAGTCCCCTGTCGGTCTATGTAGTGTTGAACGTAAACACAGACACGAAGTAGAACGGAATGACGAAGGGCCGAATACGACATGTATTTTTGAAGGCGGCCCAAGACGAAGGCAGATACAGAGATGTCGTGTTCTTCTGATACTTGTATATCACAGGGGTCGGTGAGGTACTGTGACATGACACTAAGACGCATACGAAATTTACATAGGTATAACTAAATACTGTATTTTTTATTTATTGTATAATGAAGCAAAACATGATACTTGCGTAAGATAAAAATGAAGACGGAGAAGATATATATTCTTTATCTTATGTCCTGTTAGAACAAAATGGCTCAAATCGATAGTTCGTGTTTAGAACTTGCATAAAATAAGGAAAATAAAATTCAAAAACAGCTTTTTCATGTCGTATTCCGCTGTAAACGCAGAAAATTGTACAATTTTCGGGTACTTTGTCGTATCCCTAACTAAGGCTATAATAATATATGTAGCCACACAGATAAGCAATCTAGATTAAATTTGCTTTCTATTTTTATTTAAATATAATCCATACACTTTAACATGGCATGAACTGACTATATACATTTATAAGTAACTATTGAAGTGACGTTCGTTATCCAAAAAAAAAGTTAACACACGAAGCCTTTTAGCATTTTGCACTTTGGACATTGCTGATTTTGCAAGCTGTCTTCTGATCTGCTGGCTTTTCCGACGTGTGCCCGACCTCAGAGCAGAAAATGATCTTGGGAAGCTAGATGAAAAGCGTGTCATGTGCAAAATTAATTTAGGTTTTAGCAATCTCTCTTGCCCATTCGTTGAGTTTGGTTGAACATTTTATTTTAGGAACGAAAAAAAAATCAGCGCTCAGTCGCTAAGCGATCACTCAAGCGAACCATATAACAGTATATGAGCCTAAGGGACATCGGTGTCAGGGCTGTCGGAAATAAATGGATATAAGGCTTCCGTGACAAGGAAAGATATTGGCCCGGAGTCTATTTACGAAAGCTACTAATAGTTAATTTAGCTGATATCCACTAAAACACTGTCTCTGAAACGAGGACTGTTATTGCCATAAGGTTACTTTCTGATCCGAAATTTGGTCGAACGTGCATCTGCAGGATAAATGCACAGAAGTTTCTCGGTCTTGCCTTGACAAATCATCAAAAATTGACAAATCAAACAATTACACACACGGTGAGATTAGCTTCCTGATCGCGTTTCCGCTGACAGCGCTGGTGGCCAGTGAATGAAGATCAGTGAATGTGGGAAAATCACATCGACTGGCGATGGAGCGTTGCCATTTTGCCCATCCACCAGCTACGCCTGTCGGCCAGTTTGGTTTCTATTGTATTGTGACCGATCCATGCGTCTGGATGATAAGTAGCTCCGTACCAGTCTGTCTATGCAGGCAAATATCGTAGTTATACATATAATCGTATTTGATACGCGCTGTATTTGTATTGTATGTTGCCGTACATAGTTGTTGTAGTGTACAAGCACAGTATACGTACCGTTGTACGTGTCTGAGGTAAATAGAATAGTTTCGCTACTTGAAGTACTGGTCCTCTCATAGACAAGCAAGTATCCTTGCCGCTGTTATTACTGTAATAGTCCTTGAGTGGCAAACGATTAAAAACAACACTTACAACTGACGTCTCCTTCAACGTCGATGCGCATAAAGAATTGGCATCAGGCGGGGAAAAGGCTATATAAATTTGCCGGCATCCAGGAAGAAGTTTATTTCCGCTACTTCAATCGGAACTGGACCGATGCAAGTAAACAAATCTTAGTTGAAGACAACAAAGTGTATCAGCCAGACCAGGCATTTTGTATCGGTCATAGCGGCTGCCTAACTACCATTAACAGGTACAACTCAACGATGATTCACTACCAAGATATCTCATCGTTAAGTTTAGTACCATCACGATTTTTGCTCGGATCACAAAGTCTCTCTGTGAATTGCTTAAAGTAAAAGTGCGGTTTGCTCTATTCTATATTGTAGTAATTTTCAATAGGCAGGATCTAAGTGGAATCTTTTAATGGTGTGTTGATCTTCATTCATTAAACAATTTAGTGGTAAATTGTAGATTATTTCAATGTAAGTTAAACAAATAATAGATTAACAAATATTGAAAATGAATTGTACAGTGGCAAAAAAATGGCAGCCTCGATCTAATTCAGGCAACTAGATTATATGATATTAAAACAAATGAGTAATAATAAATTTGATCAAATTGATAAAAAGCTATCGGATCATCTCGTGCTTACTCCTCGTATATAGTCAATACCCCAGCAGATTAGCAGATATTGCCTACAGTTTATTAATGTGGTTTACGAAAGTGATCGTTTTAGAGCTCCAGCTTGTGGTGAATTTCTTCTATAGACTTTACTATCTTTATTATCATCACATTGCTTGGGTAAGTGCGAAAGTTACTAAGACATTAACACCAGTAGCAAGTTCGACGTTTGTTCTTTCAGTATTAGCACAATTAGGTATTTTCCCTGCGTGATATCGTCTTAGTGTTCTTCATCCAAACATCTCCGTCCGCTCAGCGGGGGAATGCTTGCCCATAAACTGATATTAATAAAGTTACTATTAAGTTAAGCAGCTTATGATTTATTCATTTTCTAACTACCCTGTACGATTAACTTCAGTTCTGTTGCGTCTTACTGTTATGATCCGAGCAGATCGCTGGCGTGAAGGGACCCCTAGCGCTTAGGTGTTATTTACTGCTGAGCTCCTACGAAACGTTTTTATGTCGCCTCGAAAATATTAAACGACAAAAAAAACAAATTTAGGTGATATAAAAGCCATGAACTCAGAAGGCGTTTTTGACGATATCTATATTTATGACTTTTACGATTTGTTTTTACATCAGTATTTGCGGCTGTAATTGGCAGACATATCTGTTCGTGTTTTGGATGTGGGACAGCATAAAACATATTGCAGAATGGTGATTTAGTGACACATAAATAATCATAATGGACCTACACAAAAATCTGCACAAATAAAATTTTATGTTCATCGGCTAGTAAGTTTAAGAGAAAGGGCAACGTTTCTATACGACTTTAATCGTCATTGTAGCGTCCACTGTTAATGGGAAAGTTTAGCAAGCATTTATTATTACGTGGGCAGTATTTAGTAGTAAATTAAGCAAATCCGATATCTAAAATGTGAGACTAGCAAAAGGCTCTGAGAAACAAACACGTTATCGCGTCGCGATCCTCCGTGAATAACTTCTACACTCGCTGGTCGCGAAAAATCGACTTATCATTTACAAATGTATTACGCAGATGTTGCCAAATGTTTTTGGGTTAAAAATGGCCCTTTATTAATTCTTGGATCGCCAGTGGTTCTGCAATTATGCCATATTGATTGATTTACAATTAGTGTTGTGCTGAACAATATTAGTATCACGCTGAAAGCTCTACGCTTAGACCCAAATGATCCCAAGTGCTAAATAAACAAACTGCCTCATTCCACAGGTTAATGTAGCATAATATTTGATCTTGATATCGAGCATAATCGTTACGTATACGACGGTAACGCACTTCGCTCTCGGCATCTCAGTGGTGATGTAATGTAACAGTTAATCATTGCCTGCCTTTTCCTTTGTCCACTTCCTCAGCTAATCCTTTCGTAAAGCTGAATCACTTTGAATAGTCCTTTAACTCGGTATTATTTTGTGCATCTCCGATTTCCAGGTGTTCGTATCGCACACCAGCCAACGGAGTTACCAACTGTAACAGCTGCGCCCCCCGTATATAACGCTGAGAACGAGGATGACGATTATGATAACAAAAACTTCCCGCTACCGCTTGCAACAACGCCGATTTCCATTGTGAAACTAAAGAAACTCAAGATTCCGAAAAAGCGTCCATCGGTCGTGCGAACCCGACCTATGAGACTACGCGACAAAGAGGTCGATGGCGTCGCGGTTGCGCCTATCAAAAGCAGGCAGCCAAAGCAGGACAGGCCTGCTTTTGGTATTTTTACACGTCCCAAAAAACCGACTGGCGCACCGGGAGTTCGGACGGTGCGGCCCATTGTGAAAATTTTTGACCGCGCCAGAGACCGACCCAAGTCTAAACAGTTTCAGCCAGTGAGGATTCGTAAGCCTGGAAAGCGAATCACTACCGCGAAGCCTGAACGAAAACCATATCCTTTCGGCCCTCCAAGATCTGCTCCTTCACTACCGTCCGCACCATCCGGTCCATCTTTGGCTGATTTCGAAGAGCTGTACCGTCGCCAGAAAGGACAGCACAAAGGGTACGAGACTTCGACGTATCGAACGGTTGAAGAAGATGTTCCAGATGATTTTGGAGAGCCCGACCTGCAAGTCCCACTGGTATATTATGAGGGGCAAACGAAAATCATCGATGGATGGGAATGGTCCCCCTATTTAGACGATAGAAATACGAAGGAATTTAAGTACTTAGCATTTCACGTAAAACAGCAACTAAAGTCATTTCTTGACGATACACGCTACGGTGATTTCCTCAATTATATTCTCATCGACGGATTTAGTAAAGGGGTTGAAGTTGATTTCTTCCTCGTGTTTTATCAGACAGAGCCGATGATTGATGATCAAGAACTCACTGAAGATGTGCGAGATGTGATGGCGTATAAATCTGACAACGACTTCGAATTTGTCCTCGACCCCAATATGACATCATTCAAATTCAAATACGTGAAAACGCCTGCTTCCGAACTCCTTGTCGAACCTCCTCTACTACCAAACTGGGCAATTGCAATGTTGGTGTTTGGCTTCGGCTCACTGGTTCTTATTGCTGGTTCACTTATCATGGCAAATAATTTCCGCTCCAATCGACGACTGAAGGACATTAAAAAGAAAAAACTAAACGAAAAAGAACTTCAGCTACAGATGACAAGTATACCTCACCGTTACTCTGAAGCAGTAAAAAAAAGTAAAGAGGCAGGAAAAAGCGGCAAGACAGAACCTCTAGACACAAAGTCGTCGGGGTCGGCTCACTCTTCGAAAAGCTACTGCGGCTCTGTAGGAACGCTGGATAAACGGCCTCCGATGCTCGAACGTTACCAACGCGACTATGGTGTATATAAGCAAACGAATCCACCATCGGATCGCATCTGCGGCGAGCACGATGATCACCGGCAACGGCGACGAAAAAACAATGAGAATCGCCGTCCGAAGAACGGCAAATCACAACAGAATCGAGGAGAAACCTGTATGGACCCCGACCCTGCACCTCTGGGGGACGGCTACTCGACCATAGGTTCACACTTTCCGAGTAGCTTTAAAAGTTTGTTACAGCCATCGAAATCCATATTGTATCGACCATCACGTTGATGCTCATTTGGGGTGATATGATAATGATGGTGATAAGGTTGCCGACGGCACTAGTAGTGATGATCGGCAGTGATAGAAATAACAACTTGCTTAAAATGTATGCGTGACCCAATATATGAACTTTTACCGGGAAATACTGTTACAACTTTGTTATAGAGGCTATATAATTAATTAGCATGTGTATTTTATAAAATGGAATAGGAAAGTAAAAGTAAGCTTGGTAATGGAAGAAAAATTAGGAAAAACGAAAGGATTCATATATGCGTGAATATAATATAAAAATTATCGACTGCTGCGCCCGTGCCTAAGCTGGTCTCATAAAGTTCAATTTACCTAGACCTTTAGAAGGTTCCAAAATATTCGCTAATCAAACAAATCTCATAAGGGTTAAGTTCGGGTAAGATTATTCTATGTCAAAAGTATGCGGTAGACTTCACATGAGCACGAGGGGTTCTCTGTTGTATTTACATCTATCAAGAGAATTCTGGGTTTTTATAACAAACTGTATGTCTGGTCGATTAAGTAGTCAATCTGCTATATTAAAAAAGCCCGAAGGGAGACGTAGCAACCACTTGGAACTGGTGCTTTTGTTGAAAAGATTGTAACAACTATCTTCGATAAAAGGCAAAACAATGATACACGATAGAGGCAAAGGCACAACAAGTCTCTTTTAGGGAATGACGTGGGCCAATCGCATCAATAATGAATAAACGATAAGGATATTTATTTATTTATGGACAGCTGTCTGCCACATGACCAAGATGGCGGAAACGACCTCGGTGGAAATGATGTGTACATAGGATATTGTTGACAAAATAAACTATT